GCAGGACGTGACCCCACAGCCCCCTCCACCATCAACCCCTCAGACCGGATGGCTGGGAACCACTGAAAGCGGATGAGCTGCCGCCACGGCAACCCCCAGTTTAGCTGTGGGTGTCGCCTCCCCCCCCCCCATGGCAGGGTGTCACCCAAGGGTGCTGGGGTGGTCTCACCTCCGCGGCTCCAGCGACGGCAGGGCAATGATCTTCTCGAAGTTCATGACAAACGCTTCCAGCCACTGCTGCAGGTACGAGAGGTCCTTCTGCAAGGGGGGGGGGGAGACACTGGCCAATCAGATCCCGCAGTGACCACCGCCACCAGAGGTATCAGCCAATCGGCAGCTAGAGTGGTCAAGCCCCTCCTTGGTCATTTCAGCCGATGGGCAATCAGAAAAGTACAACCTGTAGAGCTGCTGACCAATCAGCACTCAAAGCAGCACAACCTGTGGATTTGCTGACCAATCAGCACAGCCCGTTAAGCTCCTAACCAATCAACACAAAGACCACCTGCCCCATAGACAATAATCAGCCAATCAGCAGTATGAGCCGCTGGTCCTTAAAGACCACTGCTGACCAACCACCTGCACAGAGCACCTCATCCCTGGGACCTGCCGACCAATCAGCACTCAGAACACCTGCCCCTACAGGCAGCTGCCAGCCAATCAGGTGGCAGAGCCAGGCACAGGCAGCCAGCACTGCCTCACACAACAACCGCCAGCCCGGTGGTTGTGCAACGGCCTGATTCACCCCCCCTGTCACCGCACCCCAGGGCCGGGCACCTCCTGCACAGTGCCCACGGGGGTCACCCATGGCCCTGAGCACCCCAGTGCAGCCCCTTGGGGTCACCCAAAGCCCTCAGCACTCCAACACAGACCCTTGGGGTCACCCATGTCCTCATGCATCCCAACACAGCACCTTAGAGTCACCCATTGCCCAGAGCATCCCAGTGCAGCCTCCTGTGGTGACCCAGGTCTCACAGAACCCCAACACAGCCCCTTGGGGCCACCCATGTCCCTGAGCACCTCAATAAAGCACTTTGGGGTGACCCATACAGCCCAGTGCAGCCCCTTGGGGTCACCCATGTCCCCAAACACCCCCATGGAACACCTTGGGGTGACCCACAGCTCTGAGCACTCAGTGGAGCACCCTGGGTTGACCCATATCTCTAAACATCCCCATGCAGCCGCTTGGGGTGACCCACGTCCCCACGCACCCCCATGCAGCACCCTCAGGTGTCCCCATCCCAGGCAGGGACTGTCCCTGCCTGTGGACATCCTGGTCCCCACAGAGACCCGCCTCCCCACCCCCAACTCCCCCCATGACATGGGGAGCCCCATCACTCCTCCAGGCACTGTCAGCACCTCTGCAAGGGGGGGTCCCCAAGGAGACCTCATGACCCCCTCAGCAGCATCTCCCCACAACCCACCCCCCCATTGTCTCATTTGTTCACCCCCATGTCACTCATTTCCTCCCAGACTCCCCCATTTACCACTGGGTACTGCTGAGCTGCAAGCACCCAGTGGGGTGAGCCGGGTGTGGGGTGTCCCCCCACCTACCCCCCAACCAGACCCTGTTACCTGGCCACCATGGCCATCCATGATCCCGGGGGAGCTGCGCCGGTGCAGCCGTGCCAGGACGGGGGATGCAGTTATTTCACACGTCCCCCCCTCCCTTTCTCGCCGCCGCCTCGCTTTGCTCTTGTGCAAAGCACCCAAAAACACAACAAACCCCAGAGCATCAGGAAATGCCAAGTCACCCGCAGCCCCAACGGCGCTTCCTCCCACCGCGGCTGGCTGCCCGGCACTGCTTTGGGGTGCCAACAGTTGCCCCCAACCCCACGCACCCACCGGCAGCGCTGGGATATGCCAGGGATGCAGCCAAGGACACGGTAGTGACCATGGTGCGCACGGGATGATGGGCACCACTGCTGGAGCTGGCATGTGGCATGGGCACGAAGCTCCGAGCCGGTGGGTTGCAAACACCATGGATAACCAGATCATGCCGAAACCACGAGCCAAATCCCTCCTGTGTCCCCCCCACTCCCATCAGTGCAACCAAAGCTGGGCTGTCCTGACTTTGCCAGTTCTCAGCATCCCTCCTCCCACCCAATATCCCCCTTGCACCCATCTGGAGCCAGCATCCTATCCCATCCTGGCACAGCACTCACCGGGACGGTGCCAGTGGCCGCCTCCACTGCCAGTGCCTGTCCCAGCCGGTTGCTGGCTGGCAGAGCCTGTTGGGTGGCTTCTAGGCTCGGCCGGCGCGGTGCTGCCTGGGAATGTCATGCCGGCACCTCCATCCCTCGCCAGCACTGCCGTCGGCAGCTCCAGACTCCCGCCCAGTAGTGACAGTGGCAAAGCCACCAGGTTGTCACCTCCCTGCCATCAAGTCCCATGGTGGGGGGGGGGCATCGGGGGTCCTGGTGTGGGACCCCCCTGGGGTTCCTGCCATCCCCTTTGGATGGTGTGGGACGACACAGCCAGCACCATCCCTGCTGTGGCACGGCCACCTCACAAGGACATCCCTGAGGACACCCCCTGTCCCCTGCCAGCAGTGGTGGCACAGTGACATGAGCTCTGCCCTATTTTAAAGCCATGAGAGATAACAGCCGCACTCCCAGCGCACAGCCCTTCTCTGATCCCACCAGCTGGGGAGGGCTGCGATGATGGGGAATGCTGCCCTCGAGGGGACACTCAGAGCAGTGGCATCACCAGCTGCATTCAAACCTCAAAATGAACCCAGCAGTGAGACAGGGAGAGGTTGATGTGGAACAGGGACATGGCCCAGCAGCCTTGTCCTCACACGGTGCTTTAGGACATCACCATGGGGAAGGCCAGGGCAGCTTTGCACAGGACCTGGCTGGGGAGGTGACACTGGGGTCTCACCTCAGCCTTGCTTCCTCTTGTGTGGCTCTGACTGTGCACACCCTGACAGTGCAGCACACTTGCTATGCAAGGGTGTCCCCATATGGCCATGCACACCCCAGCGGTGTGGCACATGTCCCTCTATGACCATGTGCACCCAACAGCATGTCACATATGTTCATGCACACCCTGACAGCACGACACATGTCCCCGCAGGACCATGCACACCCAGCAGTGTGCCACATGTCCCCTGTACAACCATGCACACTCTGACGGTGTGGCACATCTCCTCATACAACCATACACACCCAAACAGCATGGCACATGTCCCTGTATAACCGCACACACCCAATAGCATGTCATGTACCACCACGCACACCCCGACAGCATGATGTGTCCCCTGTACGATCATGCAGACTGTGATGGCATGGCAAGCGTCCCTATATGACCATGCACACCCGATGGCATGGCACGTGGCCCTGTATGACCACACAGCCCCCAACAGTGCAGCACCCGTCCCTGTGCAAGTGCAAACACCCAACAGTGTGGCATGTGTCCCTGTAGGACCACAGGCACCCAAAGATATGTCACTCAACCCTGTACAAGCATGCACACTTGATGGCACGTCCCTATACAACCATGCACACACCAACAGTGCAGCGTCTGTCCCTGGGCAAGTGTGAACACTCCAAAAGCATGTCCCATAACCCCATACCACCACGCACACCTGAAGGCATAGCACGTATCCCCCATGTGAGCACGTATATCCATGTCCCTGTATGACTGTGGTCAGACAAGGACGTACCACCCATCCCCATACAACCCCTCACACCTGAACAGCACAACAACTGCACCTGGGTGAGCATGAACACCCCAATGGCATGGCATCTGCCCACCCTGACAGTGTGGTACATGTCTGTCCCCGCACCATCACATGCACCTGACAGTGTGGTTGGTGCCTGTCCCCGCGTGAGTGTGAGCACTCCAATGTGGCACGTGCCCCTTGTACAAGCCCCCCCAGGGGTCCTGAGGGAAATAGTGGGGCCAGGGGAGGAGATGGACACAACCGCTGTCCCTGTCCCCAGGTGGGACCAGGGTCCCCATCCCTCTTGGAACCCCCCCTGCCATGTGCTGGGAACACGGCAGGGGTTTGGGAAAGAAATAATGCCCTTCACCCCAATCTCCCTGAGATGGACACCCCAGCCCGTGGCATAAGAACTGGGGGAGACGCAGGGGGGTGTGCGATCCTTTCCTCCAGCATCCCCCCCACGACCCTTTCCCAAACCTGGACGCATGGATACTTAAGGAGAAAACAAAGCATAAGGGGCTTTGGAGGTGGATACGGAGGGTTCCCCACGCTGCCGGTCAGAAACCCCCGTTCTCCAGGACCCCTGCCTGCGGGACCTGCCCCAGCAGAGGGAAACACGATGGGGGAGACAGGACAGAACAGGCGGTGGTGCCGGGGGGGGTCCCCCTGTACAGGGAGCCCCCCTTTTCCCCCTGCTGCTGCTCCAATGTCACCGCGGCCGCACCTGCTGCTGGGCAAGGGTGCGGGGACCCGGAAGAGGGAAAGGACCCCCCCCCCCCCCAACCCACCCGACCGGGTGTAAGGGGTTGTGCGGACCCCCCAAATCCCGCCGTGATTGATGGGATGCGATGGCGGGGATCCGGGGGGATGGCGGAACTCGGGGTACGGGGTGTGCCACGGGGGGGGTGTCACTCCCGGGATACGGCAAAGGGGATCCGGGGCGGGGGGACACGGACACGCGGTCGCGGCCCTCAGGATGCGGCAGTCGGGTGCAGGATGAGGGTTACGGTGACCCTCAAATGGGGAGAATGGGGTGGGGGTATCACGGGGTGCCGCAGTGGGGGGTACGGATGGAACGCGGTGCCCCCCCAAGTCGGGAGTGATACAGGGAGAAGGTGCCGGCAGGGGGGGTGCAGGCAGGGTTTAGCTTTCCCCTTTTCCCTATGGAAGGGGGATGCAGGCAGCGGGGTGATGGGGGTTAAAAGGGGTGCTGCCCCCCACCCCCCCTTCCGAGGTGGGGGGGAGAACTGGGGTGTGTGTGGGGTCCTCCGGTGCCGACCTCACCTTGGCGAAGTAGAGCATCCAAAGCTCGTAGAGCCGCTCCCGGGAAGCCATGCCGGGCCGGCACGGCTCGGTACGGGCAGCTCCGCCCCCCCCCGACGGGCCCTCCCCCAGGTACAGGGGGGGCGGTGACAAGGCCCCCCTAGGTACCTGATGCTGGGAGGGGACCCTTTCGCGTTCCACCTTTTACCTTCTCCCCCCCCCCACGGGGGGGGGAGAAGGTAAAAGGTGGATCGGGAAAGCTAAAAAGGGCAGAGCGGGAAAGGTAAAAGGCGGGAGGGGGAAAGGTAAAATATCCCGCTCCAATAATCACGCCCTCCGATCAACCCAATTGAGCCTTGCGCGCCCTAGGAGAGCGGGGGAATAAGGGTAGCAAGGTCACAAGAGGATGATTTTGGACTATTTTGCCTTTCATTTGTTAAATCCCATTTATTTTTAATGCTTTTATGTGTGTGTGTTCCCTCCCCCCGTTGCGCCCCACAGCCGAGGCTTGGCGCTCGACGCGCTCGGCGCTCGACGGGTTGGATGCGCTCGGCGCTCGACGGGCGCATGCGCGCTGCGGGTTGTACGGAGCGTAAGGAGAAAGGGAAAGATGGCGGCGCCCGGCGGTGGTGTGGAGGCGGAGGAGGACGCGCCTGGCCTGGTCTTGGGGAGGCTGGAGGAGGAAGCGCGGCGGCGGCAGGAGAGGCTGCGGGCTCTGAGGCAGCGCACACTGCAGGTCGGTGACGGGGTGGCGGTGGGAGGTGTGTGGGGTGGGAGGTGGAGGGGTGTGAAGGTCTGGAGTGGGCCTCTGTGTGTGTGTGTGTGGATGGTCTGAGGTGCGCTTGATGGTTTGAGGGAGGGGGAGAAGGGATGTGGGGGTCAGAGGGTCTCCAGTGGGTCTGTAGTTATTTGGGATGTGGGGGGCAGAGGGTGTGGAGAGTAGGTTTAGAGGTGTGGGAAAGATTGGGTAGGGACAGGAGCATCTGAGGGTAGGTGGGGGGTTCAGGGGTGCTGAGGGGTCTGGAGCCCCCAGGCTGGGCAAAACAAGGGGTTCAGGTTATGGGGCATTGGGGGTTTATGGGGCCAAGGGGGAAGGATGGCTGGTGTGTGGTGGGGTGTTTGGGGAAGCAAGGGGGCGCAGGCTGTGGGGTGGAGAGAGGAGCAGGGAAGAGTAGTGAGGTAGAGGGGGTCCCCTGCTGTGGGGAAGGGGATGTGGGGTGAGAGGAGTGCCAGAAAAAGCAGGGTGTGAGTGCTGGAGGAGGGGGCTTGGGATTTATGTGATGGTCCTGAGCTTTGTTGGTCTTGTCTGTGGGTTTGTGTGGGCTCTGTATGACCCCAGGGCCTGTATGGCCTGTCCTCGGGCTTCCTCTGGTTTTTAAGTTCTGCCTTTGCCATCCCTGGCCTTTGCTAACCCCCTCTCCCATTGTGTAATTAAGCCACTTGATTTTTCCACGCTGTCTCCCCAGTTCTCTGTGTTTACATCATATCTGGCATCCAGGCCACAACCTGGGTTTGGTAGTGAGGATGAAAAGAGCTTTACCCCGGGGTTAATTAAAAACATGTTCCATTTCTCTGGTGTTTTGTGGGCCTTCAACTTCTCATCCATGAGACGCTGAGACCTCATTGCCTGTAGTGCAGGCTTGAGGATACTGGGGAACTGGCTGTGTTGCCAAAGCCAAGGGTCAGTAAATGGTGTGTGCTGTGGATGGTGTGGCAGGCTCCTTGCTCAGCCCCAGGGGAATTCACTGTGGTTATTGTAAACCTTGTGTGCAGAAGGTGCTGCTGGTGGCAAAATATCTGGGATCAGTTATTAAATTTATCTGAAAAGTTTTGCAATTTCTTGGATTCTCACCCAAAAAACTGTGGTTGTTTTCCCTGGTGTCCTTGTTGCTTCTGCAGATGCTGAGCTCAGAACATTAAAATGGAATTTTTATTTTATCTTATTTTTTTTTAATGGAGTAAACTTGACAGACTTGGTCATTAATATCTTGGCAGTGCCTGCCGAGGAAGGTGGCCATGCTCCAGTGTGTCTCTGCACATCCTGGCATCGCTTGGTTCTCCCCTTTTGGGCTAGTAGGGTGGTGCTAGTTCTGCTTCTCTTCCACCACAACATCCTGAATTTGTTGATCTAGTTTAGTATGGTCTACTGGTGTGTGAAGATGTTCTGTCCCTCCACTGAGGGACCTTCTCTTGGGGCCACTAAAGGGAGCCGTGGTTTGGTGAGCAGGCCAAGTGTGTTCTGCTGTGGTTCTTGTTTTGAGATGTACGTTATGATCACAGAACTGAGCTTTATGAAGCGGGAGAGTGGGATACAGCTCCGTGATGACTCTTCCCAGGAAGAAAAACCATGGAAAAGAAAAACTTCTCCTAAAAGAAAAGCTCTCCCCTTTATTTTCTGTCCCATCGAGCAAATTTAGAAGGAGTGAGACGTTGTGGACGGAGTCATGCATGGAGTGCTGTTCTCTTCTGCTTTATTGCTTCAGGGTTTTTGTTCTTAATTTGGGGTGAGATTTTCTGACGTGGTCCCTGTGAAAGCTAATGTGGCTGTTGTTAAAAACAAGTAGCATCTCACACACAGTACCAGTGAATGCCTTTGAGGGTAAAGCTCCTGGTAGACCTGTCCTGGTAAGTTTGTTGAAGCCTCTCTAAATCCGTTTTTACTCTTGGCTTTTGCAGCTTCCTGAGACAGAGTTCCACCGTTTAATAACAAAACTACTTCCTTTGGTTTAAAACCCATTAAATGGAAGTTGCCTTGGGTGCTCTCTCACACAGCCCTTGTGAGAAATAAAACAATCACTCCATGATCTTGTTTATGAGTTTATAGCATGCTTGGTCTCCCTTTCAGATCCAGGCTGTGGTCTGTGAAGTCTGTCTTTGTACACAAATCTCTCTGAATCACCTTGGTGACTTTTCCTGGTGCCTCCCTGAGTGCTGGGATGCCCTTTTTCTGAGAGTGGATCAGGATGTGGGCACTTGGGAGTCTACAGCACTGGCATTTATTTTGTGTTCCCCCCTCTCGTGTTCTTACTTTAGTTACACAAGCCTGTCTTCAACAGTCAAAAGCTTGGCTGCTTTTTCCAGTGCTATTGGTCTCAACTGAGACCTTTCCACAGGAGCCTTCTCCAGGCTGAACAAGCCCAACTCTCTCAGCCTGTCTCCATAGCAGAGGTGCTCCAGCCCTCAGAGCATCTCCATGGCCTCCTCTGTACTCACTCCAGCAGCTCCACTTCCTTCTCATGTTAGAGGCCTCGGAGCTGGATGCAGGACTGCACGTGGGGTCTCACCAGAGCAGAGAGGGAGGATCCCCTCACTCGACCTGCTGGTCATGCTGCTGGTGATGCTGCCCAGCACACATACTGTGTTGTCTCATTGCTCAGATGTCATTTTACAACCCGTCTGCCAGCTGTTGCTGGATTTCCTTCTGAGCGATTTCACCTGCAGCTGCTGTCATCTAGCCAGTCAGGTCTTTCCCAAGTCTTCTGTGGTGCTTGTGTCAGCCCAGACCCTGGCAGGGGGCATGGTGGTTGAGAAAAAGAGAGGATCCTCTCATGCTGCTGTGAAAAGCTGCTGCTGGGGTTTCTGGAGGGAAGTTGCTGCACTTTCAGTTGTGTTTCTGTTTGAGGAGGAGGTACTTGAGATGCAGCAAGGAGCCTCCTTCAGCTCAGGACTTCTCTACAAGTTGAGCTGTGTGCTCAGTTTTCCTGGGAAGGTGATGCTTACCTTTTCACAAATCAGTGAGGAAACGTGGGGTAATTAATATCCAGACACATAAAACTGCAGAAGATGATCTTGTGCTTTCTGCTTTGCCTACCTGACCTGTCGTGCCACCTTTTATTGATGGACAGCAAATGGGCTTTTACGTAATAAAAAGTGTTTGACTTCTGGGTGTAATTTACATTTGAGAAACATCAGTCACTGCTTGCTCGTACAAAGATTCTTAGAACAGTCTGTAAGCTCTCAACCTCAGTGTACAGCCTTGGCATCAGCACAGTTTGCAATGTCAGGGATCAGGTACAGCATCAGAGAGGCTGTTTCCTTCCTAAATTTAAATAACATTGCCTTTCAGTAGCAAGACATTACATTGCAGACTCTGACTTGTTGGCATATTGAATATTACTTCCTGTTCCGTCAAAAAAAATACACTTTTGGATTGTGTAACTGTTATCTTGGTTTGCAAGCTTTCCTCTCTTCTTTTCTCCTCGTCAAATATCTTGCAGTACTTGCTTACTAAGCTTCCAAGCCCTGAGGGCTTCTGCAGTGGCCTGAGAGCTAAAGGGCTGCTGGTCTCCCAGTTGGCAGTATAGAGCTGAAATGTCTGACCCCCTAAGGCTTCATTCACATGATGCTTCTGAGCAACCAGGGTGTCAGGCTATTATCTGAACACATTTTTACTTCTTTACTTCCATGCAGGCTCAGCCAGGATGTTGTGGTTTGGTTTTTTTTTTTTTTCTTTGGGCATTTTTACAGTTTCTGTGAGTACAGTTTCTTTTGAGTTTCTTCAAAAGAATCGTGACCAGCAGGTCAAAGGAGGTGATCCTGCCCCTCTACTCTGCTCTCGTGAGATCTCACCTGGAGTACTGTGTCCAACTCTGATGTCCCTGATACATGAATGACATGAAACTGTTGGAATGAGTCCAGAGGAAGCCCACAGGGGTCACCCATGGCCCTGAGCACCCCAGTGCAGCCCCTTGGGGTCACCCAAAGCCCTCAGCACTCCAACACAGACCCTCGGGGTCACCCATGTCCTCATGCATGCCAATACAGCACCTTTGAGTCACCCATTGCTGAGAGCATCCCAGTGCAGCCTCTTGTGGTGACCCAGCTGTCACAGAACCCCAACACAGGCCCTTCGGGCCACCCATGTCCCTGAGCACCTCAATAAAGCACTTTGGGGTGACCCATACAGCCCAGTGCAGCCTCTTGGGGTCACCCATGTCCCCAAACATCCCCATGGAACACCTTGGGGTGACCCACAGCTCTGAGCACTCAATGCAGCACCCTGGGTTGACCCATATCTCTAAACATCCCCATGCAGCCACTTGGGGTGACCCACGTCCCCACGCACCCCCATGCAGCACCCTCAGGTGTCCCCATCCCAGGCAGGGACTGTCCCTGCCTGGGGACATCCTGGTCCCCACAGAGACCTGTCTCCCCATCCCCAAGTCCCCCCATGACATGGGGAGCCCCATCACTCCTCCAGGCACTGTCGGCACCTCTGCAATGTGGGGGTCCCCAAGGAGACCTCATGACCCCCTCAACAGCATCTCCCCACAAATGGCACGGCCACCTCACAAGGACATCCCTGAGGACATCCCCTGTCCCCTGCCAGCAGTGGTGGCACAGTGACATGAGCTCTGCCCTATTTTAAAGCCATGAGAGATAACAGCCGCACTCCCAGCGCACAGCCCTTCTCTGATCCCACCAGCTGGGGAGGGCTGCGATGATGGGGAATGCTGCCCTCGAGGTGACACTCAGAGCAGTGGCATCACCAGCTGCATTCAAACCTCAAAATGAACCCAGCAGTGAGACAGGGAGAGGTTGATGTGGAACAGGGCCATGGCCCAGCAGCCTTGTCCTCACCCGGTGCTTTAGGACATCACCATGGGGAAGGCCAGGGCAGCTTTGCACAGGACCTGGCTGGGGAGGTGACACTGGGGTCTCTTGTGTGGCCCGTCGAGCGCCGAGCCTCGGCGGTGGGGCGCAACGGGGGGAGGGGCCACACACACACATAAAAGC